ACCTACTCTCATGATAACCTGACACCATGTTTTAAGCTTGTCGTTTCTCAAAAATTTGGAACACTGTTCCGAACCAGAAAACTGTACACACTTCAGCAACTTTTGATGATTTATAAAGCTCAGATCAGACGTTCTTTGGGGTATTATTCTCATGTATGAAGCTCCGCCCCTAATCATACCCTGAAGCTGCTGAATTCCATGCAGAAAAGAGCCATCCGTCTGATTGGAGACGCGAACATCACTTGCAACTTTGCTGGTTTGGAGTGTCGAAAAAAGATTGGAGATTTGTCTGTCTTCTATAGATACTTTCACGGGAGGTGTTCCAGTGACTTGGCACATTTGATTCCACCAAGAGCGAAATATATCAGAAATACGCGACGGACTTGGCTGCTCATGGTTTTGAGGTTCAACTCAGTGCACCTCAAACTTCACTGCTTAAGAACTCTTCCATTTGGAGAACTGCGTGTATTTGAAATAAATTTCCTGAAAACGTCTTTCCAAATGGATTTGATCTCCAGCGATTCAAATTCAATGTGAATCACCACTTTCGCATAGGCACCACTCTTAGAGCGCCTTAAGGATTTTTGTGTAGTGCTTGTGTTGCCTTTAAAAAAGTGCTTTATATAATAAGTAGCCTAAACTTGGGATAGAGGATGAAAATGAATACAATTTCTTTTTCATCTGTGACTGTCGTGATTCGTAATTATTTTTTTATAACATCCTCTACTTTACTTGAAAAATTCAAAACACATGAAAATCTGAAAACTTTCTTGGAATTTCAATTTTTCTCTTGATCTTTGAAATGATCTCTTTTACATCGACAACAATCTTTCGTAATGACCTTTCAATGGTTTCATGTCCACATATTTCGTCTCAGTTCATATTCATTCTTGTTAATAGAAAACGATCTTAAATTCAATTTTTGTTTGATGATTCAGGAAGTCCATATTTTCTCCTCTTTACAGATTTCGAAAACAATCTTATTACATTTGGGATGATTAATTGGTTTTCTATAATTTCTATTTCTATTATAGTAGTTATTGATTTTCTGTTGATGTTTCTGATTTTTGTAGGTATTACTTGAATATTTTGTTGTCAAAATTTGATTTTCTTGATCGGAATTGTACATTTCGAATTTATTGCGGTCTAAATCCAAGTTCATTGGGTGTATTTCTCTCGCGTCTTATATCTTTTTACATATTTTGATTAATCCTAAATTTTCGCATGCATTTGCTGACAATAAAGGTATGTGGCGGTGTTCCATAACTTCAAAAGATAATTTGTATTCTTGTATATACCCCGTGTATAAAAACTTTCTGGCCAATAAGATGTATGATTTGTCCACTAAAACCTTTCAAATTTGCGTAGAGACATCTTATAATGTTATATACAGAGTGGTGCTGCAGAGGCAATAAGAAAAGGATCTATTTCGAAACATCGATGTTCGCCATTGGGGAAGAAAGTGTTTCATGTAAGAGGAATTTTTATCTCTTTCATATACATTATTGTGTAGCAATCCTGTGAATGACATCTGATTCATTTCCAAAACAAATTATGAATAGACTTACCCGATACTTGATGAAAATTAATCACACTGTCCATGATAATAATTACACAATTTTCACGAACATTTTTATTTCTAAACGCAAGGAAGGTACGGTGTTAGCAAAACGCATCTATACAAATATATATAGTTTGTGAGGATGGATAAATGTATGTATGTATGTATATTTGTGGCTCTTTCACGCCTTAACCACTGACCGAATTTAGATAAAAATATTTGCATAAATACAGCTTATACATCGGAATAACATATAGGCTACAATTTACAAAGGTTTTGTGTAATTTTGATAATAATATAACGATAAGTATTACGTTGGTCGGAAAATGGTAAAGCTATCTAAGGGTGCGCTGCCTATACCGTTGGAGTTACATGCAGATAATGAATTCTGAGATTGTTTATGGTAAATAGTTGTGAACCTAAATCCACGATAGCATATATCTACCTCTACGCGTATATCTACATCTTCCAACAAAACCGACAAAATTTAATACAATCTTTGAACCCCTGTTTTTCTCCGTGGGGTGGAAATTCCTGTTTCCCTATCTCAATGGTTATTTACGCTATACAAAGATCCTACCTGCATATTTCAAGATTCTAGGTTCAGTAGCTTCGGCTCTACGTTAATATAAGAGTGTCAGTTAATTAATATACCTATACAATATTAGCTTTTCTCCGCTGTTTTATCGGCGTTACCATAGGAACCTACCGTATGTGTTATTCCAGGTCATGATCTATCAATATACTAACTCACATTTGAATCTTAGAATCACTTAAAATCTTGAAATATGCAGGTAGGTCCTTTGTAAGGCGTAAATAAGGCGTAAATCAAGAAAGGGAATCATCAATTTTCACCTTCAAGGGGGAAAATAGGGGTTTGAAGATTGTATTGAATTTCGTCAGTTTTGAAGATGGAAACCTGAAGTTTTGGGTTAATAAAAGAAGAAACAAGTTTTCTTCAGATGCAGTTTTTCAAGTTGAAGTATGCAAATAATGGTTTCAGTTAAATTGCTTTACACTTTACTAATCTGATTTTGGTTTCCATTTCGAATGAATTCAATTTCACTTTGCTTCTGACACATTTTAATTGAAGTAGTACTCGTATATAGAAACCTTTCGTGACTTTTCACAGGGTAGAATGTTGACAGGTTTTATTGTTAGATACCTTTGGAGGATTTTTTTTAGTTGTGTTGTATCGCCATCGTGACGAATATACCTACACGATGAATATTTTATTATGGTGGAATATGTGGAGTTGTTTTTCAGAATGTTCATCCGTTGTGTGTTTTTCCAAGGTCGACGTTTCGCAATCATCTCAGATGGCATTATCAAGACTTGTTATCGCTCGTGAACACCCGGAAAACAACCTTAAGCACAGCAAGAATATATTTTTTATTTTCATAGCAAAGGTTTTCAGATATAATTTGAATGTTATTTGCATGGTATCTCCCTACAAGTCATTTTTTGAATTTGTGGGTTTTCACTTCCCAGGAATCAAAAAACTATTCAAAATCGATGTTTGAATGAAATTCAGATTTATATAACTTGTCAGTAACACTTCCTATTATTAATTTTGCCTATATATTTAAAAAAAAAGAATTAAAATAAAAATAAATTTCCTTTGAATGAAGTGGCAAGTCAGTGACATTTCTGGAGAAACTGAAAACCCATAAATACCAGGAATAGAAGACCCATATAAATGCCAAGAATAAAAGTTTTGTAGTTTGTGACATAGGTACACGAATAATTGGAAATTGCAATTTCCGTTCTTCATTCTGAGAACGCCCAAAGTGTGCCTGTCACTGTCTATCCAACAAAGCAAAAGCTTTTTGAATCCCTCCATTGAAATATAGGTACATATTATGTAAGTCACTGCTAGTAAGTCAATTTTTTAGATGAGTTTTTTTTGTACGACGTTAAGTATGATACCGGGTACGGTGGGGCACAGTGAGAGAGGTATTTTTCTCTGAACATCAGCTGTGGAGTGTAAGAAGCGTGGAATGTGCATGGAGTGTAAGAATTATAGACCTGATGAAATTTTAACCAACGACTTGAAACATTTACCAGAAAGATTCAAAATCGTTCGGTCTGGCAAGCAGTTTATATCCAATTCTTTGATTGTTCTCACTTTATTTTTTTTTCTCAAATCGCATTTATTGTGGGTATCAATATACCTGATAAGATTTTCTGCTCTGCAATTTTCACTTCACTGTTCTTAGAAGCGACAGCTTGATCGCAACTTTTGTTGAACCATGATTTGTCGTTATTCATTGACTAAGGAATATATCAATACATACCTGATAGAATAACCTCAGTTGCTCCAGAAGCCTATGTGATATGTTAGATAGTATAGAAGTACAGCCCCATCGAACCCACTCCATATCGACGATCCTTCAGTTATAACATATATAGTTTGTATAATAATATTTCACAAAAATATAAAGTCAGTACAATTTCCTCATTTAAGTGCTGTTACAAAAAATATCTCATCGCTGCTCAATCAGAAAGTCATTCATTTCATATATTTTATACTTCCGAAAAATTTTCAGTATGAACATTTAACATATTTCAGTAAAAGAAAATAACATGGAAATTACTTTTACTTACCCCGATGGCTCTGAGAAAGCCTACAGTGTAGCCACCTAGCCAAGGAAGCAAGAGTACGTTAAATCCTGTCATTTGAAGAATATTTATGCAATACACCGCTAGGGCTTTTATTAGCGAGTAAGTTTTCCATATGCGTTTCCAAAAGCTTCCCACGTCTGTATCATCAGATAAAATATGCTTCGAAAATCGAGGAAGTTTCGTATTCCGAAGTCTTTAAAGAAATAAAATTATCATAGAAACCCTATAATGTGTTAAAGAAGCGTAGCAGTCTTCACATTGATGACATAAGAATACAGAAACACATGTGGGACCTGTCTTGTACATCACATTATATCATTTCATTCGATTCTATGCGGAAATCTGCAGGGATGAATAATTTGCCTGAACCCTTTGTTACTGGTGGGGCATACCTCCGAAATGAAACGCCTATCCCGGCGAGAGGACTCCGCCTACACTTCTATTCATTTGGCATCCAGACGCTTCTCTTGGCGTCCGAAGCGCAAGCGCGGGAATAGCGAAAAATTCCAAGAAAATAGTTTTCGTCTGTCTAAGAACAAGTTACCCAATGTACATACGAACGATCGTCGACACTGTTGCAAAGTAGGCGGTCAGAAACGTCAGCAGGACGAATTTCTGCTGACGCTATTCCGCGGGAATAAGGATCGGAGATTTGAGTGATTGAGAAATATCGGCGATAAAGATTGAGTCGTGCAAATCTGGTTGGCTAGTGGGCCGGCCGTGCTCATTAAGAAAAAGCGTGCACTTGATCGTTTTTTAAAGAGTCGAAACGTCTTTACTCCTTGAGCGCATGCAAGGGGTGGCGCGTTCCGAATTCCCTGAGCGGCTGAGAGCGCGCTCACGATAGCAGCAGATTGCAGTGTTCCATTTCGTTTAGTCGGACGTTCGGTTGCGTTGTTGGTGTATCGCATGCTCTTCTGCAGGACCGGTCACGTTGCCGGCGTAATGAAATAATTGTCTAGGCCGTGTTGTTTTTCTTGAATGAGTTTATTGTATGACGATGGACTTCCAGAGTGCTATGGAGACTTTTGCTGAAGCTTGGGTCGCCGCCAATACCAAAGGAGCTCCACTCACCGATGTTTCCACACAGGTAGGCCTCTGATTTTTAATTTCGTTTCGTTGTGACAATTCGTTGATTCATTGTTTATGCTTCCTGGAAATCGATAACGATGATTTTTTATTACTTTGGACTTTTCCATTTCCGATAAACAGAGTCACAAACGTGTCGTGTTGAGATGTTATTTCTCGTAGGCCTCATAAATCTTAATTTGAATCATTTTACTATTCATCTCCGATTAATACCACAGACTAGTTCTGTTGAAAAAAAAAACATCACGAACATAACAAGGTATTTCAAAAGATCCAAAATTGTACTTAGATAGCGTTTTTTCAATACTAATATTTGAATCATCCTAGCAACTTTTTCAACATTTTCAGTCTAATGCACCAACATTGACAGGGGTGTCATTCTAAAACTCAAAAATGTATCGACACCTGTAATGAAATTGACAAAATTTATTATTTATAAAAGACCCAGTCGCAATTTTGAATATTAGTTCCGTACATGTCCATAAATAAATGAAAGTGATTATAATATCATTTTGTTTTTTATATCTCCAATGGATTTAATCGAATTATTCACATCGAATAACCGAAATGAATTGGTTTATGATTTTAGTAAATGTGTGTTAGTATTGAAGACGCTTGCTGGATTTTCCAGTGAGCGAGAAGTGTTGTGTCATAGGTCATAGTGTTTATGTAAAACAATATTAGGTACATATGTCAAACATTCAAAATATTATTAGGTATATTGAATTATACAAAACTAGTCAGCATAGAGAATTATAAAAAAGCAATATTAAAAGAAGCAGTTAACATCAAAAACATTCATAGATTTCTCACATTCCAATTATTTGTAGGTACCTTATATTATATCTTAATGTTTTCACTCAAATGAAATGAAATATTTGTATCCAAATTTTTTTATCAAGATTCTAAATGAGAAAAATCGGAGAATATCCCGAAACCTTGGTCCGATCTTCTCCAGTTCATCAAACAACAAAATACTTGTACCGTTCATTCCTTAAAATGTTTCCATGACATTGGTTGAATTATTCTAAATGCTGACGATAATAAATTTTAATGAGGTGTTGAAATACCGGAATTATAAAATAATCCACCACAACAAAAATCCACTGACAACTAATGTCAGCTGCCTCTCAAAAACTTGAGATAATATTTCTATGAAGTTGTACACATCCCAGCAACTTTTAATCACCCGAAAACGATTGTGGATACTAACAATCGAAACGTCGTGAAGTAACTTGGATTGAAATCTTTCAATTTTTTATTTCTTGTTGATTGTTCAATTTTCAATTGTTGCTTGTGTTTCATTTCATTGTAATTTCATTTCAGGTTTTTTTGCGTAATATAATTGATATTTTCAGTTATTTATTTTAATTTTATTGATTCTTTCAGGGATTTCAGATCATTTTATATCATATTAGACAATGGAAGTCCAAACTAATGAAATTCAACTTTTAATCTATTTATACTAATATAGTAGAGCTGAAGTTTTTATTTGTTTGTGTTTTTTTGTTTGAACTACCAGTCGAATTTGATAAACTCTTCGTGTATGATAGCCACAAACACGAGGAAGCCAATCAGTATCACGCTACAATTATTGATTAGACTCAAATATATCCTAAGTAAGTCTCAAGAAGAAACGATATCGATCTGCTTTTTTCGCAATTGTTGATCATACCTTAGTACATGTATCACAAAGATATAGCCTGGAATATCAGAGAAATTTTTGGGACTTGTCTACCTCTCTTCGTTCTATTTCCGTAAAAAGTAGTATATATTGAAAGTACTGGTCAAACTCAATACATCTTGGACCACACTTTTCATGAACCTCTTGGTGAATTTCCTTATCAATGCCATTTTTGTCTGGAATCACATTCTTGTATTTATTATTTCAGAAACTAGCGATATCAATTTGAATATGTTGAAATCTGTTAATCTGTTTTTTCCGGTAATCAGCTGTCGCCCCCATACGAACGACAACTCTCAAAAGTTGAGAACTTGTGCGAGCTAAGGACTAACGAGGTCTTACCTTTTAACGTGTGATTCCCAACACGGTTGCAGAAGTAAAATAAGACTTTCAGGATTTGCTATTGCCATAGCTCCATCTGTAGTTTATTACTTTATGTTTATCTAGAAATTATGCCAAACTATTAGATTAAGTCCTATCACATAAAATAAATTAGATGATTGGGGAATGTTCTCAGTTTACTTCACCTGTGATGCTGTGATTCACACTTCAAATTGAACATTCAAAAACACACCTTTTAATTTATCGGTACTGATGAACCTGAATATCAAATCGATGCGATGATACTAACAATTTTTCATTTCAAAGCAGAATGGCAGAGAGCAGTTTTTTTAATTCTTATGAATTTCACTCCCCCAATTCAACATTCGATCCGTTCCGCTGCAAATCCTAGTTAATCCAGGATTTCACTAATCTGGGATTACCGCTACAGGATATGGGTGCAAACTCAGGAATCGATTGATTTGACCAACATTTGTATATAACACTTCAATAATAGCACGTATTTTCACGTGTAAGAGAAAATAACTACAAAATAGAATAGATGTGTGGCAAAATATGTCACAAGGAACAACTTCCATGGCTAGAGTAACAAAATAAACACCACACTCTTCATGCTATTTGTTTGATGTTCCATAATCACGTTCCAAAAAAAATCGAACACGGTATATAACAATTTTTTCTAAGATGATGAAAGTATGATGAAATATTTTTTTATATGACCCGCTATTATCTTCGTTGCAATAGTTTTACCAAATAAAAATATCAAATTTCTAGATAATGGATTGAATTGGTTTTTTCATCAACCTTCTCTCGAACAACAAACCTCTGAAGTAGAAACGTATGAAGCGACACAGAGATTAACGAGATCTTACCTTCTAGCGTGCGATTTCTGACCAGGGTCAGCCGTTACGATGAATAGAGCCATCCAGTTGGCTACTATCTGACCAAGAATACTAGCCAGTATTCTCCTGGAATTTCTGGATTTGAAAAAACTTTATGGAATAATTATATATCGGTTATCATTTATACTTTCATTTTTTGATAACTGATCTGTTCATCATTCTTGAAGACGTGACAACAGTAAATTCTTATTTATTTTCTTCTTTCAATAAGATTTATTGAGTTTCTGGCAGATTATTATAGACACGGGCTAACTAATCATCATTGTTAATTAACGCAATATCTTGGTAACTTGTGAAAGAGATAATCCATGCGACGATTTGAACTTGTTTCTTTATATCTCAGTGTAATTGGATATACTCGACTAACAAAGTTATGGAATATGTTTTGGTGGTTTCTTATAAATTGATGGCAGTAAGTAAAATTTCGTAATTTTTCTACCTGCACCAACTTTTCTTTAGTAAAAATTTGATCANCTTAATTTTTTTGTTGGTTGTCCTAATGATTCAATCTCAAGGGGGAGAATTTTTTATCTAACAGGTGTGACGAATATTACCCAACAGATTTTTTATATATTTCTATTCATAACAAACAGAAAATGTTCTATTTGTTATAAATCTGAATAGTGAAAACTTCCTTCTCAACGCGGTGAAACAGTTTGAACTAAGAAATTATCAGAAATGATGGAGATTCCCACCATTTCTGATAATTTCCATCAAAACATATTTTTCATTATTGATGTGTGTAAGTAATTACGTTTTGTTTCAATGTTTTGTAACTGTCAAAATTCAATCATCATTAGTTCATGAAATTTGAATAATTTATCTATACCAATACTCGATTTATGAGTTAGTGACATAATAAATATCTAGAAACGAAATTATCGTTTGCACTATCTGTATTTCCTCAACATCGTTACCACCATCATTAACAACTATTCAGTGCCAACTTCCAATAACCTCGCTCGAATAGATATGTGAGTCTCAAAGGTAAATTCGAATTAGTCGTATTACAGTAATAAATAATAATTATAGTAGTATTAACTATGTGATCCTATATTAAAAAGCAACTGCAATTATAAAAAAAATAAGTAACACGTTTAACTTCCATCTCATTACAACAACAAATTACTTCTCAGTAGTAAATATCATAAAAACGTCAATATGGTTATTTTTGTATTGGACGCAGGTTAACTATAATTATAATATTAATTAATCATCATAGTTCAGATGTGAATAAAGTACATGGTCTTATTTTCTTAAGTGATTATTCCAATAACACATTATAAGACATACTTGAAACGTATGCATAAATAACACGTAAGTACATGTGGCAAACATCAAAATGTCAAAGTCTTCTCAATATATTTAACTTAATGATAATTGAAATATATCCCAACCTGGTTGACTTCTTCTCATTATGTAAAATAATCGATATACCTAATTTGTTTAATTTTGGAGTTTATTGTAGAAGCTCAATACAAAAGTTGGCAAAATTTATGCACAACTAATTGAATATCTCAGGAAAATAAAAAATACTACATCATAAGAATAATATCGTGAACGAGTTGAAAGCAAAGTATATGAGAAATCTAGAGTGAAATTGATGTGAGAAAGTGAATTCTATCAAAATTATTATGAAGAGTAAAATATGTGTAAATGTTTGAACAGAAAGCAGTAACTTTATTTTAGTGCTCGTCTACTACAATTTTGATAAGTCCTCGTGGTTTTATGAGGTTTACTTGAGTTTATATAGGAAGTTGATTCCAGAAAGACGCCGATCTCCGAAAGACTTATTGAAACATATATTTAGAATTTTATTAGGTTGAGCTATTTAAAATCTGTTTTTCTGTTAATCAGCTGTCGCACCCATATGAACCACAACTCTCAAAACTTGAAACTTGTGCGAGCTAAGAACTGACAAGGTCTTACCTTTCAACTTGTGATTCCTACCAAGCCATGACTCTGGGAACAAGCAGGTGTTTCGAGTGTTTCCCATAAAATTACAGTTGAAGAAAGAAGTCCCCAATCTTCCTTCGATTTCAGAGGTTTTTTGAGATATTTGGTGGATAGCTC